GAGTGTGACGGGAATGCCAACTTATCCACCACTTCTAAACACGGTAAAGAAGAAAGGAGAGTGGAAACACTAACTCTACAGAGGATAATAACAAATTCATGAGATGAAATAAATCACGTCTGCAATAATTTCTCTTCTTATGAAACAAGTAAATCAATTTTGGTAGCCCACATTCACATCATCGTTAATTACTTCAGTTTGCTAACTATGCTACTTACAATACCGAGAAGCCCGACTGTGGCGAAAATGGTGTTATTTGAAAAGTTACAAGCAGGTTGTTATCACTAAAATTCCTGGCAAAACGATGAATGTAATGGAACTTAATTCACTTGCACCAAAATGAGATGGAACCCATGCCATTAATTATATTAAATGCATCTACATAAATACTCCATGAATTCTTTCAATGGGCTACTGTCGAAATTTCCTTTTCTTAATTGTATCTGGCAGATTTATACTCCAATTTTCGCGATCCATCATTTATTCAAACATTCCACTAAAAAAAAGGCCGTATTTCAGCATTACTTACACAAATTTCAATAGTGGTTTCATTACAAGACATAGTGGTTTCATTACAAGACAGTATCCACAATCTTCAATCCCAATAACTGCACAATGTGGATCAAAATCATATAAATTAAACAAAAAAAAGGTAAAATTAGGGAAAATAGAACAAGACAAAAAAATGCAGATGCTCCCAATCATCGTGTCTGAATATTAATACGATCGTCAAACAATGAAGACGGTAATATATGGAAAAACATAAGAACGTACCTCGCCGGAAAAAGCAAGGGTTTAAAGGCTCGATTTTTACGTCATTTTATTCTTTCGCGAATTTGATGTGCTCAACTGCAAAAGTCCGTAACACAACTCGACCACAGAGTGAGACTCGCTGATCTGCGTCTACAGCGGTGTCTCACACTTGCTATTTTGGTTCTACAATCCAAGGGGAAATTGCTATTTTGGGCCATTGTTAGGACTTAAGGGATGAGCTTAATCAGGCCTCAACAATCATTGGATTCAGATACCAATGGACCACCCACCCATATAATAACTGTCCAAGAAAAAAAGAAATTCATAAAAATTTTGGAAAATATGTGGAATTTCATAAATGCTAGAAAAAGAAAATGTTTATGCATATGTTGGCTGGAAAAAGGAAATGTTTATGCATTTGCAATAATCAATGAAAGAAAATGTTGGCTGAAAAAAAGAAAAGACCACACATTATTTATATTTAGATAGACCCTTATTTCAAAATCCTTTCAAGGTTCTCAAAATTAGATGGATAATAGCTCCGCGACACGGTCTTGTCTTCATAATTGAAAATGTGAACAACTTCAGTGCTGTTATCTTGAGAGATGTTATCAGTGAAGTAAATTGAATTAGACTTGAGCCCAGGAAAGTTTGCCACAGGCAAAGCAAAAGCATTACTCTGAAAGCCTATGAATAGGGCCCAACCATCAAGGCCCGAACTCTTAAATCCACCTTCTTCTTCCTCCGGATCATACCTATGCACGTCAAATCCACCACCACCAGCGTGCTGAGTCACCACAGGCACGTCCCGGCCAACCACCACCAGATGCTCCGCCGGCAGATCATCCGGCTGACGGTCAATCCGCCCATCATAAAACTTGAATTTATTGAATGAATGATCATGCCTGCCGCTGTCCAGCTCAGCCAGCTCCCTCTTCTCCGGGTAAAGTGGGTCCCACAGGTTCCACGAGTTCAGATGCCCGCTGGTAGTGAGGGCGAACACCAGTTTGTGCTTCGGCGAGTACACGCAGTCCTCGTAGCAGCCCGATCAGATGCCCGCTGGTAGTGAGGGCGAACACCAGTTTGTGCTCCGGCGAGTACACGCAGTCCTCTTAGCAGCCCGACCACCTCCACCGGCGGCCGGCCACCTCGTCCCACAACAGGAGCATATCCTTCTCACCGAGTGGAATCCACTCCTTGCTGCGTCCCGGGCAGCAACAGGCCAGTGCCCCAATGGAGTTGAAGATGATCACGCACGGCCCGGCATTTTTCCTCGTCCACGTTGGGTGAGCATGAGGATACACTTGTCCACGCTCTTCCTCATGTTCCCAATATAGTTAAAGGAGGGGTGACGCGGCAGGTCTATCTTGCTCAATCGGTGGAAGCTTTATGCGGCGGCGAGAGATGGGGTTGTACAGGAACGTGTCGACGATGTCCGGGTTGAACAGAGCCTGCCAGCCGTGAAAGTATCTCCTCAACACGAAGTCATCGACGGAAAACGAGTCCATTTCAGCACAGCCTGCCAGCCGTACTACTTTTCTGCTAGCGGGCAGCTGCTGCTGCTGCTGCCGGGGAGACTGATAAGATGAACTTTGTAGCGAAATCGCGGTCATCTTCCGGGTAACCGGCAAATATAGACGACCGGTGGCGAGATAGATTCCAGGAGAAGAATGAGATCCGGCCTTATATTTTCCAGATCCGGCGAACCCATTTCCCACAGATGGAGGTGGAAGTGGCCCATGGATAAAACTCTAATAATTTTCTGTAGCCCTAATTTTATCCCCAAATTTCATCCTCTCAAAGCAAAACTGTGCGTTTTACATAACAATTTTTTGTAAATGACTAACTGTTTATTTTTTGTTTAACCTTTCCATAATTTTTATTTTTTTTAAGAAAAGAAAATGACTAAATGTTTATTCCTTTTTATATGTCAATTAGTAAAATAAGGGAATAAAATTAATTATTTCTTCCAACAATATTTATTTTTTAATTTAACTAATAAAAAAGTTATTTTAATTGGACTCAAGTTCATACAAAGAGCAAAGACAAGAATGTAAGAAACTATGGAACAAGGAGGGGAAAGGAGGGGAAAGAACACTAATCTGCATAATGTACAAAGTACAACACTAATAACAAAGGAGGGGAAAGAACACTAATATATCTGAAAGAACTATTTTTCCAACTATTACTACTGTAGTAGTGTGTATATTTTGGGGTAACTTCACTTGTGGTACAAAATTGTGAAGCCCCCCTTAAAAAAAAAACAAAGAATGATAATACACACAATACGTTGGTCCTTAATTTTTCGGCTCGCGATTGTTGATTGGTGGCTTTCGACGAGGTTTGCTTTTGTAATCCCTTCTCATCAGGTTCATGATCTCATCCTCCGCCTCAAGAAGCGCCTTTTCGGTTTCGACGGCGTCGTTTTTGTCGCCGGAGCTCGTAGGGGTATTTTGGGCATCTAAAGTGTTTTGAACATCAACTGGTTTATTCTTCCCTGTGTAAGAACATTAAAGAATTTGACCAACTTTGTATAATATGATTATGAACATAGCTTTATAGACCCTTTTTATTGGGCTTCACTGCCAGTTAGTGAAGATAAGATTAGTAACTACGGATGCTACAGTCCCGTTACGGAACCATTTCGTCGGGATTTGTAACCGTTAGATCATCATGTAACCGTCGTGGATAGTTGATTTAACGATTTCAAACCCCAACGAAATGGTTTTGTAACGGGACTGTAGAATCTCTCAGTAACTATATGTATATGAGAAGAAAATGAGCTTTGTACCTGAAAAATGTGATCTTTTTTCATCCTGCAGCACTTGCAACATTTTTCTTCCCTCCTTAAATTGAACAGCCTGTTTCATGATTTACTTACATAATTAGTCCAAATTATAATCTAGAAAAGTTTCTAAACAAAAGTTAGTATAATGCCATTGGCATTTTATTTTACATGTGAGAAAATTTGAGGCTTACACTTAGTTGAAAAAATGCACCATTTCCCATACTTTTGCTGCCCTTTGGCCAATCTTTCTTTCCTCCATCATTTCCTGCACATAAAAATAGCAGAAACCCAAAAATAAATAAATAAATAAATGAGCCGAGTTTGGATGAAAATGCCTCAATTTGAAATAATTTCATGACAATCAACTCATGTATATATGCATAGGGAAATGCTACGTCCTGTTATGGAACCATTCTGTTGGAGTTCGTAACCGTTAGGGATAGTTGCTCTAACGGTTACAAACCCCGACAGAATAGTTTCGTAACGAAACTATAGCATCTCCCATATGTATATACTTATACCTTCACAACACTTTGCACTAGAGCACTCGAAAGCAAGCAAAATGATAAGAACACTCAAGAGTAATCTTGAACAACTTTCCAACTCCATTAAGTTCCAAAACCTTGAAATGCCTTCAAATTTCTCTGTTTTTATTCTGTTCTGTTCCTTTCTTTTTATACAAGTGTACATTTATATATATAGAGAGAAGACAAGAAAATGCAAGGTATATATGAGCTTTTTATAGAGTTCAAACAAGAGTCAAAGGTAGTCTCCCGACAACTACGTATAGTTCTTCTCAAAAAACATTAGTTTAATCTGTTTCCTGGCCACAAGAAGGACTTGGGAGAACTCAAGAATACCACAATATTATTTTAAAAAAGATAAATGGAACTCATAATGTAATATATATATGCAGATAGATGCATATTGTCTGAACACTATATATATCTGCATTTGCTGCATGAAATTGCTAATCACTAGGCCTCTCGTCTGCTTTAAAGCTCGGATGATCGGAGGGTGCGTATCAACGACCATTGATACGCACCGTAGGATCAATGATGAATATATCAAAATCCAATCATTATAGCACACCAAATAAAATAAATGTATGAAATGTGATTATTATTGCATTTGAAATGTGATTATTATTGCATTTTTTTTTTTCTCAGTGTTTTTTATATTGTCATTATTTTGTTAAAACTCATGCAATTCAACATGTTTATTTTATGTTTATTTTTCTTGGACTAGTAAATGACCTCTTTGGTACATGATGAAAAGCCCATGAAAAGAAGCCCAAGTGAAAGACAATTGTTGTACATAAACTGGCATTTTGGTAGAAATTGTTCCATATTTTGGTATAGACTTAGACATGGCCACGGGCCGAATCGGTCAGTGGCCCAACCCACGAACGGTATCGGCCCGGCCCGAATCGGACCGAATCAGCCTCTTAAGGGCCGGTTCGTTGAACCGAGACCCGTAAGGCCGCGGTTCGGTCCCGGTTACTTATTTTTTTTGTTGGACCCGTCGGTCCGGACCGGGTCGGACGACGGGTCACCTTGTTAATTTTTTTTTAAAGTGCCGTACCGGCACGTGAACCGACGGTTCGGGCCAGTACTGTAAACCGGTCCTTGGTTTTTAGGCGGGCCAGTCGCAGGCCATGTGTTAGAGGGCCGGTGGCCCGGCAGGTCGGGCCAGGCCGGAAACCGGCACCTGTCCACCTCTATATAGACTTTATGTTCGTCTCCAATTATCATCATCTCTGGTGAGAATACATGCAATCGACCGGCTAAACTCGGGGCACTGCGGGTCGAACTTGTGGCCAAACACAAATTTCTAGAATATAAAAACAAATAATTAAATATAAAAAAAAATATAGTAATAATAAACGGTGCTAGAACATGGCTAGTGGATTTCATTTATCGAATTACTTAATGTTTTATTAGTATTTT